GGGATTTTTCCCCAATATGTGTCAAATGTGAAGAGCATAACAACACAAAAAGGTGGCCTAAAAGCAACTGGAGGATTTAAACCATGTTTCATAAACAAAAGTAATCTGCAAAACAAAAGGTTGCCTACATTCTAAATAAGCTTGGCATGTATTTTGTAGCAACTTAAACAAAACAAGACTCACTACCATTAAACCCCTGCGGATAGCAATTAGGGACCATTAACATGCAAAGCCAATTTGATAAGGTATGGGCCTTTCCTAAATCCTTATTACACCATCGTATTCACCTCTGAGGCACTACAGTTTAAAGCTGCACCAAAAAACACACATAATCCAGACGACAATTCACATTCCATTGTTATGCTTATCCCGGTAAATTAAAAAAAGATATCTACAAACAAGCAAGAACACGGTTTGACGCTTCTAGTCCAAATCTGGCAGAAACGTTATAGCCTTCTCAGCTAAATGGAATTTATTTCTGCTTGGAAAAAAAAAAATTACCTTCATAAAAAAGCAGAACATTTATTTCATTAATCACTCAGTTCCTTCACCGGGCAGATTTTTATTTCAGAGACGAGTAACTGCCACAACATAAGACAAACAAAACAAGTAAAAAACTGGGATGCTAAAAGACAATTGTCAGTAATGAACAAATAAGAGAACAACAGAATGACCAACAAAAATACATTAACAGTCTGGGGTTTGGATATCAGTTAAAATATTTATAGACAGTGGTTTCCTTTTGTTTAATTTCTAACTGCTTATAATTATATAGGGAAACCTGACCCTTTGCCAGAGTCTCCAGACCCTGGATATTATAATGTTAGAGTGGCGTCAAATATCTTAACATTCTTAAATCTTCCAGGCTGTAAATAAACCCTGTGGATTTACAACACTGCATGGCCTGCCAGCAGACGTCTATGGCACATTTCTTTCAGTAGACCTGTTGAGGTGTGATTTTTGCCTGAAGCAGCCCAGTTAACCCTTTACCTTTGGATTGCAGTATAATCTAGCCATTAGACCTGCTCTGCATTTCAGAAAATGTGGACACATAGATAAACAGAGAGATGAGACTTATGAAATGGAACCCGCTAAAGTAAAATAGCATGTCTTTATCTAGAAAAGAAAAACACTGATCGACAGGAATTTCTGTTAATTTGTTTAAACGATGCTAAATTCTGAAACACTTCAGACATAGGTAGTTGGAAAAACAAACTATCAGTTGTTATAGCCACGGAGGTCAGACAAATTAGACAGCCCACCCTTCTCTAACCCCTGCCCCCGAGGAAAAAAAAAAGTGCAATATAGTCACTATACAGCAGGAAGCATGTTAAATCCAGCCTCCCCTTCACAAAGAACAGCCAGACAATATCCAACTAAAATACAGCCCCATGGACAGCTGGAAAAATCTCCTTCGAGTTTTAGTCACAGTATAGAAATGCGCATTATCACAAAAATCTGCAGCTGTCAGAGCCAAAACCACTGTCATTAATATTACTTTTGCAGCTAGTGATGAGACACAGAGCTAAATAAACCATTTTTTTAACCTGTCTTTTTAGAAACTACCATTAGCCCTCAGCTAAGCAAACAAGAGAAATATCATACCAACACTGTAATTATCAATCTGAAATAAGGCATAAGACACCCAAGGCAAATGCATGGCAAACAAATGCTGCTTCCCAAGTACCGTACAAAGCAAGGCTCTGACTATTCATTACGCTGTCTAAGCAAGATGGTAAACCCACCAAACCAAGGGGAAAAAATAGGGTTGGATGCAGTTTAAATAAAATTTAAAGTTCATCACACCAGCATTCACGTATATTTAGCAGGACATAATCATGTCTTATAATTTTGTTTTTTTAATATAATCTTGTGCACACATTTTAAATGATCATACGAGCCATTTCATAATGTCCTAATGTTTGTTGCAAGATAATCACCTTCTTAATTATTTATGCTTAACTATGTAACCCATTTATGTATACAACACAGATAGGTGTTCAAAGCTTTAATGGTATTACACAAAGCCACTCTAAAGGTAGTGAACTTGGCAGAGAATCTACACACCATTATCTATTGTACTCAGCCTAGTAAAAAGGGATGCCGGGCTGATGAGGTCCACAGCTCCACAATCTTTCAGCTTTAATTTCCAGTCATTAGAAAATGATTGAAAGCCACATGGATTTGAATCCACATTTAAATAACTGACTATACCCCCTTGTAAATAAAGCCCAGAATAACCAGTTCAAATGGATTCATTCATTACTGAATGACCCCCCCCCCCAATACAAGTGCAAAAAAAGTCTACCTTGGATGACAAAAGGACTGAAGAGACCAAAAAAAAGGTATCTGCTAGTGAAAATTTAAAATGCGTGCTAGGCAGAACCAGTGAAGTTCAGCATTCTTTTTAACAAAACCCAAAGAACACCTGTGCTTTTAAAGAATGGTGTGATTTTACCAATTTCCTTTTCAGATGTAATGGCCTGTATAACGATCACTAACACTACAATATAGGGCAAGATTCTGGAATGTGTCAAATGCCCTGTTATCACAACATTTCACAAGGGTGAACAATCACTTTTTATACATTCCTTCATTTCTGTCCTCCACTGCAGGTGTTTTGGAGTTTTATCATAAAGATTCCAGTGCTGCAGTTATTCACTTGTATTTGAAATGATTTATACCATTATATATAAAACTATACTAACTTGATTAACACAGGTCTATATTCAATACTGTTAATATGCACATTATTGTCCAACTTAACGGACACCAGCAAACAAGAAAATGGCTAAGGAAGAATTCAGCATACATGACAACAAGTCAAAATACTGACTCAATCTGAAAGCCTGTTATACTTAAGTATATTTTATAAGTTAAAATTCTTGCAAATAAAAATGCCAGTTCGAAAATATATAAATGAATGTTTCTTTTTTTTACATAACTCTGATGTTACCATCTCGATTCTGCTTTTTTGCATGTTAAAATTGGTTAAGGCCTAAGTGTTGGTGAAATATCACAATATGCAACCATTGTGCCTATGTTAATTTGTTTCTGTATTATGCTGCAAAATCACATGTCTAAAATCTGTCTACTATTTTTAGTTTTAAGGGGGAAGTAAAGGAGTAGAAACAGTAAACAAACCACAAACAAAATAACACCCCCTATTAAACGGGATATAACTAATGTTAATAGGCAACCCCTGCTTGCTGTAGATAATATACACCTTTAAAGATAATTCTAAAAGCATCTGAAATGGAAATGTATTCAAAATATGAAGCAATAAAATGCAGATTACATTTATTTTAATGTACTTTGAAAATAAAGTGCATTCATCTGCATTGAAAATGAAGAAAAATGTAACTTTGCTGAAGAGGATAGCGCTGTTATATTTTCCTGTGTATTTGCTGCTATACCTACCCTATAATACGATATGACAGTTTCTAAAGCAGGGAGTTGTAATTAGAAACAAATATAAAAACCACTGGGTTTAGAAAATTGCCCCAATTGCATTTATATTGTCCCAGTGGGACTGCTATTGTGCTGTGGGATAACGAGTAAATATGCATAATTACAACTACTGCTTAAAATACATAAGCAAAGTTGATAGATGCTATTAACTAAATACTGTATGAATACCTTAATTAAGCATCATCTTTTTTAAATAGCTTATGATTTTAAAGAGGTGCCGTTATTATGGTAATGTTTCCTAAACAGCAGTATTTACAGTACTTAAACATACACTAGGAAGGTAATAATGGCTTATATTTTAAAATATATGAATAACAAAGCCACATTATAAACGCCACCATATGACAACAAGTGGTAATATTTATCTAGGCAGATAAAATAAACATACAAACATCATTCCTATGCTATGACAATTTAAAGCCAAAATCAAAGCAAATACGTCTATGAGGGCAACAGTTTTTTTGTTTTTAATTTTTCATTATAAAAAAGCGACAGGTTATTTGCAAAAATGCATATCAAAATACAGACGGTCTTAAAGTTAAAAACTGCACTTTTAACATCAGCGTAGCGCAAATACGTATTTTTTTGTATCATTTCGTCAAAAACTTGCTTTTGTACATTCAGCGAAATACGAGTATTATTGTCATTAACAGGAGCTCAAAATAAAGTTCCCAATTAGATCAATGATTAGGTCGTTAGTATTTGTATTAAGGTGAAAATCTTACGATACTGCAAACAAATTTCCGCTTCAGTAATAATTAACTTTCGCGTTAATTGTGTGCGGTAAAGAAACTAAGCTAAACACGTCGTCTTGGACTTCTTTGGGAAACGTGGAGTAAACTACATTACACAAATAATAAGGAAACATTTTAAATATATATTTAAAAACAATACCCCTTCCAAAAAAGTTATTTTCAAAAGCAACGCTGACCTAAAAATAAGTGAAATACTAAAAAAAAACAATGCGCTCCTGTAAATTAGCAAACCAATGTATTTCAACGTTGTTTTTGCAACATACAAAAAGTGTTCAGTGAAACGCAAGAAACATGCTCTGTAACAACAACGACTGAATTTGTAATGATAAAAACACTTCATTTTAAAAACATTTGGTTTGGTAAGCAAAACGTTTTCGGATTCGTCTACTACGTTCTTCAAGGTGTTTCAAATGCATATATGTGTATATACTTACACGTGTGTAAATACATTAAAACTCGAACTTCATGTCAATTTACATTTAAATTTTGCAACTGATTTGCATTACAGGCATAGTAAAATAAACATTCAGAACACAACAAAAGACAAATGAAAAGCAAACTAAACAGTTGCTTTGATAATCACCAGATGCAAATGTTAATGTTAACACATAATGGTTATGGTAGGTAAATACATGCCATTGCACAGAACTTGAAAAAAGTTGCGAAACTTTTTTTTCAGTATTAACACACCTATGCATGCATAATTAGCCAGCTGGCTTTTTGTGTGACTTTCGGAAAAAAGGGATAATTATTTTTTTTAAAAAAAAAACTTACTGTTCGTGCAGTTGGTGAAAGCGATCCATTTGGAAGATACGGACTCGTAAGATCGGGGATCATTATAAATGGATAACCCGGGTATGGTGGGCTCTTAAACAAACCTCCATCTTGCCTTTTCGCAGCTAACATGGCGGGGGAGAAGAAGAAAACTTTTGTGAGTGCCTTGAAAACTTTTTTAAGCATCCGAGAATCCATTAAAAAACACGCGGCACGCTTACATGGTGCTTTAGTGTGAAAGTCTGTGTGTGAGTTAAAAAAGTAGAAACTCACCCTCCTCTAGACTTTCTCTTGATTTGTCTCTGAAAGTTTCTGATCTAGGCGGAGGCCGTCTTTCCGCCTTGAAATACAATGAAACAGAAGAATTGCATTAAAAATAAAAAAGAAAAAGTTAGATTATTTTCGGGAACAACGTGGTTGCAAAGTAAACTATACAGAAACGGAGAATGCAATGGAAAGTACACGAGAAACGATCCCCGTTGCTTGCTACTTACCTCTGAATCTGACGAGCTGTTTTGATTAGTTTCTGATTCGTTTACAAGAGAAGATTTGACATCTGCTAAATCCCTTTCTGCTGAAGAGTTGTCCGAAATTTTTTCCTCCTGTTCCCCTTCGTCTTTGAAGGAGATCATTTCATCGTTCGCCCCCAGGTCGTCCCCTCCACCGCCGTTAAGCTGCGGCATTTTCCCGAGCAATTTTGGGGGCAAAAAACAAAGTTTTTTAAACCCTTGATCTCTGTGCTTCCGAATCCGAGCTAAACTTTAGGGTCTGTATTAGCGTTTTCCAAGGACTGGCGGTTTGTACAAACTAAAAAGAGGGGAATCTTGGCAGAAAAAGAAGCCGGAGATGGAGCTGAGCCGCTCGGATTGAGTGAGTTGAAGTTGGTCGGAGTGGTTTTCAGTTCAAAGGCGGCGCTGATTGACAGATAGAGAGGGATGGAAATAGAGAGAGTCTGGATTCGGGATTATTGACAGGGAGAAACACACAAGAAACTAATGAGATTCAAACAGGGAGGGACTTGAAGTGACGTTTTCATAAATAGAGAAGGGCAGGAAAGTATTAAAAAAACGGCTTGAGAAAGCTGGCGGACGACTGTGCAGTTTTGAAAAGCAAGTGAGGAAAAGACAGTTTTGAGAAAAGCGTGAGAGCTAAAGCAAGTCACTTCTGTTTGCTTTGTGCAAGCATCGCAGAATAAGCGGAAGGTAGTTAGAAAAAACGAGTAAAATCATTTGGGCGGTATTGGTTAGTCAAAACCCGAGTTCCTAAAATGCCCCTTTTTTCGTTTTTTTCCAGTCTGGAGTTCTATTCTAGTTCTGCAATTTGGAGGGAATATATCATGTTAGTTGTAAAACGGTGGTATGTACAAATAATTAGAATTCTTCACAAAATATCCTTATTTCAGGCTGGCTTTGTTTAAAATGTACTCAAAGCATTTCCCTTTTATCAATTGTTTTAATTTGTATTATTTATATTTTGAAGGAAGCTGTGTACACTGTATACATTAACATTCTATTATTTAAACAGAATAACTTAAAACCATTCGTTAACAATAGGTACCCAACTCGGTGATCTGTACTTTCTAGCTGTGAATAGACCCATTAAGAAAAGGAAAAGGGACGTCATGCATTGTCAATACACTCTGTCATTAACGAAACGAAAGAGAGGCATTCATTTTTTGGACATTTGCAAAATGTTTTTATGTAAATGTAACTTTTGTTAATCAAAAAGATGACTCCTAGATCTGGACAAGAATACGCGTCTACTGTGCATGCTGAATTTAAAACGTAAATACCCTTCAATCGCACAAGAACTACACCTTTATTTTTATTACCTTTTATACGGGCCTATAAAAAATTGCAAAATGCCGTAAAATGATTTAATATAGCATATCGCAATTTGTCGTTTCATTTTCTGTATTCGTGAGCGCGAAATAGAAAGTTTGCATACTGGTATTTTTCAACAGAATCGCCAAAAATAAAAGGGCGCGTTAGAAAGAAAGTGTGGGAAAAAGCCGAGAGGGATTCGAAGATCATCACTGATCACTGAGGTCTTTTGAATACAATGCAGTACGGGCGCAACGCGAAGGGCTAATCAGACTCGACAGGTCTTGGGACTAACCTGTATATATCATTAATAAATGAACAGGGGACTGGTTTGTGTAAGAATCATTTGTGATGGGTTTCCAAAGATCTGCTTAAGAAATGCCACTATTAGAAATCATCACTGTGTTAAGCTCCTTATATTACTAATTGAAACCCGTTTGTGAAACCCCTCCATCTATTAAATGTATTCTTAGAAATTATTATAGAATTATTTCTGCCGTAATAATACAGACCATATGTAATTCATTAGGATTCAAATAAAATATGCCTTTAAAAATATCACTAATGAGGGGAGGTAAATGCAGCATGTATTTCTGTGTTCTCTGTGTGCAAGAGTCAGCGCCAAGACTTTTCTGTGTTGTCAGCAAGATCACTGGAGAAAACCTGGAAAAAGACCTTTTTTGCCACTTGGCACAATGGACAGAGAAAGGAGGAAATGGCTAACAGAACTAATCTCATGGCAAGTGTAAGCTTCGCTGCATTAGGTATGCCATAAAGAGGAGTCTTGTTGCACTGTGAGGGGAAGGTGTGGTATGTTGGAGGAGGGATTGGGCGATGTGGAGCAGCAGGAAAATAAATAGGGAAATGGTTTTCAGGGCTGAATCATGATGTCTATAAATCCAGGCAAGTTAAGGCCAAAAAAATGTCTGTAGGAATACATTTTATGTTCTGTCATCTGATTGTTTTCCTTCAAATATCTTTTGAACAAATGTACATTTTAAGAAACAGTTCTTGGTAACACAACTGTACCGTTATGTTTGCTTTGTCTTCGAGTGTGTCCACCCTTGAAGTTTTTAAGCTTTTAAGTTTTCTGCTCAGTAGTACCATCAGTGCTTCCACCACATCTGAAACTTTCCTTGATACTTATGGAACTGGCAAAAACATGAGTCCACTTTCAGGGTTAAGCATAGATTCATGAGTCACCACTGTAAAAAAAAGAAAGATAAATTTGTTTTCAAATACTTAAACTGAGAAATATTCCTCTCTGCTGGTTTATGATATCCCTTGCATCAAGGAAAGCAGGCTTGCATTTCATGAAAAAGAGGCTATTTTTTACAGAATCGAAGGCATAATTTTTTTACGACCCTGGAAAACCAGTTTGTGTGCAAGAAAAAAAATATCTAAATAAGCAGCCTGGAAATAAGCAATTTAAGGTGACTTGCTGACACTTGCTTAGCTTCTCTGCGAATATGATTTTAAAGGTATAGGCACAAAGCATAGCATAAACTATTTCTAGTTCAGCATTTGTCGGGAACTACCTAGACAAACATCATGCTCCAATACGAATGCATGCCATGTTCTGCATCTAACCTAGGCTGCCAAATAAATGCAATTTTTAAGTATGATTTATTTTAATGAAATACCTGTGGGGGCAACGTTTACACTAGGCATAGGTTTGATAAACAAAAGGCATGCAGAAAAGCCACCATGTTGATCCCGTAGCTGTCAGCATCCTGACTTTTCATCTTCTCACTAACCTACATTTCAAAATAATTCCGCTATACTGGGCTTTCCACCATTGATTTCTATACTTGTCATCAGGTCTGAAACCTCCCTCACGTGTGTCGAAACTGTTTTACTGTGAACGGCTCTGTGTTCTTTATAGCAGTGTCACAGTTTTGGTGCTCTGTATTATTGTACAGAATGATCAGTAACTGGTTGCTTGGAATGAGGTAGCCTGACCATGCTTTAGAATCGTTAGCCTGCTGGTTCACCTTCAGTACACAATGGTTGTATGTATTGTGATCTCATGATGGTTATTTTTTTCTTTTTAAATTAGGGACAAATAAATCTGGTGTGACAGCACAAATTATCTAGGTAACGTTCTAGATTTTTTGTCTGTATGTATACTTGTTGAAAGGTAAGAAGAGGTGGACAAATGGACATACCCAACGTGTCTGGATCCCATGTTGCTTGGATTCTCCATACCAGAAAGTCTTGTGGACTAATTGGAGTTCTCCCAAAACCTTGGTGTGTTTGGTGACAAGAAAATAAATGTACACCCGTCACCCACTGTATTAAACATTTGAAAAAGTGTCTGTTACTGCTTCTTTTTTTTATTGAGTACACCGGCATCCTACAGTATATCACCAGGTGGAATCTAAAGCCGAACTGTCTTCAGTTGCTCTCTAACCACCTTTCCAAAGTTATGCTTCTGGAATGGATTTTTTCTTCTCAATGAAGAACATCAATAAATGCTGTTTGAACAACATCCCAAATGGGTGAAAAGGAGCACTATTGGTCACTTGGCATTTTGAAAACAGTTGCCAAAGTGTAATGAGCTGTGCAGTCATATATTCTGTTTCTTCCTCTTATTATCCTTTTCAGAGAGGCTGAGACAAAAACCATTCCGATTGGTTGTCTGGGCCTGATTTGGACCTTGTCTTCAGAAGTTAAGTGAACATGTCAGCTGTCTGAAGAACCAAATGCACTGATAGCCGCAATGAGTGTTGACAAGTTAAAATACACAACGTTCGTAACAATGTTAATTCAGCTGGGACAAAATACTAAGCACAAAAGGGAGCACGTATGGTAACATTCACATCGTAAAGGCTGGACTCATGCAGGGCCTGATGCTGATGTTCATGTACAGAGGTAATGTTATAAAACAGGAATTGTATTTGGGATGTGATTGTTTTGATGTGAAAGGGCTCTACATATGTAATGCTCTATATGTTTGTCAATTCTTCAGTTAAAAACTCCTTTTGATTATAGTTTGAATCACATAGTTTGAATAGTTTTTTTTTCCATTCTTATAATTGTGAGCCATGAGTACTTTCATGATCTTTGTGAAATAAATTCAACCATTTACAAATTCAGTACAATTGCTGGAACTGCTTAAAGTGCCATTGTAAAAACACTTTCAAGACAATGCAGAAATCATTCTTTAAATGGTATCGGTATCAAAATGGTACAAAATTAATCGTAAAAAGATGTGGAGAACAACTTTAAAAGATAATCTGAAGTATTTTTTTTCCAAATAAGATCAAGTGTAAATGGTTAATAGTGAAATCCAGTTGTGGTCCAATGCAAATTTAGCCTCACTGAAATATTTCTGTTCTTAATTAGAACATTATGGGGCCTGTTAATGGCTTAGTCTTTTAATTTCATAGCAACAATCTGTGCATTTTAAAGCTCTTTTTTAATAGTTACTACTTCATGGTTTGTGCCAAATCCCCTTAGAGTAAGATATAAAATTCTCTTTCCTAACAAGTGGAATTTGGCATTTAACCTTTAGAATTCAGTCAATTGCAAATTTCCCCATTGTGAGGAAAGCTTTACTAAACATTTTAACACTCTATCCAGAAAGCACTTACACCAGTTCAGATGAATTATATCTTATTAATAGTATGCTGGTTAACCAACCATTATTTGCTTGCAATGTTTTTATATTATGTATATGGCAGTAATGGGAAAATTGATTTCAGCTTTATTTCATTATGCATTCTTAGTTTTATGATGTCTATTTACGATTATAAAAAGCAAATTGAAAACCATTTTTTGAAATGAAGTTCATGTTGTCTTGATGCATGTTAGTATTAGTACCACAGTCAACTAGGGAAGTAAGACCTTTTAAGGTCAGAAAATTTAAAGTAACCATAACCTGCTGAATATTTGAGATGGCTGCTGAGAATGACAGAACTGCAAGAGAGGGAGTGTTTAGAAACTTTCACTGTCACATTAACTTTCCAGTAACCTATGACCTAGGATCTTGGGGCGAGTGTGTAAAAGCAAAATTAACTTCATTATTGATTTATTATTTTACAGATATACCAGTGTATTTGTGAATCTCTGGCAGCTGCCTTTGAAGCTGGCAGCTTCCACATATAAACCTGCTGATTAGGTCAGATATCATTATTTACCATAAGTCTGACAAAATAATAGGTCACATTCAAATAGGGCATTAAAACAAGTTTTCCCATTCCATTTCTTTGTTTTTCCAGAGCCTGTTTCTTACCTAAATTTTCCTTCCTTGAGGTGAACCAGCAAGGCTGAATGAAAGCCCATGTTAGAGGAGAAGAGACTGGGAGCTGGTCAACAGAAATGAAACCTACAGCAGTGAGAGACAGATTCAGGTTATAACTGATTTTAAATACACCTTAGCCAGCAGTGTTCCTGAAGCGAATCAGGAGCTCAGTCCTTTGTGAATATCAGAGCAGACGAAACAACCAACTGATCATTACATTCCTCGGCATGAGTAAACATATTTTAAGACATTGTGTTGAAATCTTGCTGAACAATTAAGTGTTTAATACCTTATAAAGGCCTGTTAGTCTGTCCATCTGAAAAATGTTCCATTTAAAAAGCACCAGGGCTTAGGAGTGACTCAACTAGTAAAAGC